CATTCCTGAGTCAAAACATCAAGGTCCAACAATCAAAATTCATTATTTGGCTAGCATGTCCAAGCAGGGTAAACCAACTCACTCTAGCAGATTCCCCTTTTCTCCTTAAAAACTCACTCCTAGGGACACAAGCTGCTGTGGCTTCCTGTCTGCCTTTGTCCAATCCAGAGGCGCCCCCACCCCCTGCTTGCTCCTCCAGAGTAATACCTCTCCTTTGTGCTTGGCATTTGGTATCTGGGTGTGCCCAGTACTGATGACTCTGGAGGGACCAACCTTCCTCACAGTAGGTAACTGTGGCTGCTGTGAGATCACAGCCGTATAGCAGGGGAGGGAGGAAGCAGGGGAGGTTAAGGGTTATAGCAAACAGAAGGTACTACATCTATGCATGAAGCTGTCAAAGAACAAATTTAATAAAAGATAATGAAAAATAGCTTCGAGAGGTCACCAGCGAATCCTCACATTGAACTGGCTGTTACAGCCTTCAACGGCTCCTCTATGTCTCCCCGATATATCACCATGGGAAGGAAAAGGCTCAGAGACCAACCAAAAGACAAATCCAGCTTCCTAGACAGTAGGCTAGGAACCAAATGGGAAGAAAAGGGACACAACCACAAAGGAACTAAGTGAGCATTTATTAAGCACCCAGAGTACTTCAGGAACTTAAGCTCTTTGTTAGCTCAAGAAAGTGCCCTGTTTCCACACTCTTGAGGAACTAGAACATCAGAAGGCTAAAGGAATTTCCCTAGGTCATGAACTGAGATTCTTTAGTGAGTCGTCAAAGCCCAGGGTGAGTGTCCCTCATCCCCATAACAAAATGGTTTCCAAATAAAACAGTCAGTTCCCACTAATGGACTAGCCCTGGAGCAAGCAGCCTTGGCACGTGGGTCCTTCCATGCTCCGAGCACTTCTACAGCATTAGCTCCTCCAAGGCACCGGCACCCTCCACCCATTAGTGCCCTCCATAGAGCAATGACCTTTCCATAGCACTGTGACTGTCCACAGTGCCAGCACTGCTCATGGCACCAGTGCCCTCTGCAGCACTACAGCCTTCCATAGCAACAGTGGTGGCCTTAGTGCCAGCACTATTGATAGTGCCAGCATCCTTCTTGGCATCAACACATCCACAGCACCCATCTCTTTCTCAAGATCACTACTTCCCTTAGCACCAAGACTTCCTGTAGCAACAGTACCTTCCAAGGTGTTGCCACTTGCACAGTACCAGAATCCTCCACAGCAGGAGACCTTTCAACAGCATCCGTATCGTCATAATACTATATTCTCCTTGATACCATAAGCCCTGGACAGCACATTGCCTTCCCCGTTGTCATCATCTCATAGACTGGGACCCTCTTCACCAACAGGACCTTCCTCTAGAACTCCTTCCAAAGTGTCACTACTTTCTGTGCCACCATCACCTCCCCTGCCACACCAAATCCAACAGATTCTGTGTGACAAGTTCCACAGGCTGAGGCCATAACTTCAAAAGAAGGAGGTCTCCTGAAAACGGTTGTGGAACTCTCGGCTGGAGAAAAATATTGAGCCGTAGTTATCATGGCAATCTCTGTTCCTCTAGTCTTTTCTCATATTAACGAAATATTCCTGAAAGCCTATGCTGACATTTTAAACAAAAGATATAAATGAGAAACCATCCCCTGATTCGTGGTCACTGACCATAACCTGGTCTCCAGGAAAACCAGCGCTTTTCAAATCATTCATGTCATTCACATAAGTACAAATAGAATAGATGAAAACTTTCCTGACAATAAAAATCCATATGGCTGTACATGTGTAGTCGAGAGTGGGTTTAAATGTTTGGTAAAGAAAGCTTATAATAAGAAAAAGTCAAAATAGCTCAATATTTCAAAGACTCACAAGAACTAGGTAACAGATGTCAAACAATAACTGACCATAAAAATTTATTAACCTGATCTTAGAAATAGGCGATTAGCTGTGGTTTGCCTTGAAGGATTTTCTGATTTATTGTTTTAGCCTTGGATAAGTTGTGTGTCACTATGCCTAGTAACGATGACGTCATTTGTCTGCTTCACTGCACACAAACTCTGAGAATATATGTTTTATCCTGGATAAAAGGCTGCAAAAATACACTGGGATTCAAACTGCTTCTGTGTTTGTTTCTGTTTGTCACCGCTGAATCCTTACCCACCTAGTCTTCGAGGACCCTAATCCCAGGGACTCCCATGGCCAGCTGGGCATAGTCCATGGCACTCCCCAGCACCAGAGCACCACATCTGTGACATCCATTCTTCAATGCTCCATAAACTTCCACAACAACAGCTCCTCCATAGTACCAGTTCATCTGTGCACTAGCACTTTCCACAGCAGTGCCATGGCCACAACACCAGAACTCTCTGGAACATCATTACACTCTGCAGCAAAGGCAGTTTAGCAATATCCCCAGCTCCGAGGGCTCAGAAAGGAAGGATTTGTTCAAGTTAGCCTGCAGACACTCTTCAAGCCTTTTGCAACGACTGCAAGAGCCTCTTCAGATTTAGGAAAAACAGAGTGCATGGGGTAGGGTAGGGGTGGGCAGCTACCAAACTCTCTAAGGCTATCTGTAAATGCACCCCAAGCTCTGCTTCTCCAGATTGAAGTCTCCAACACAGCTCCAGGCACATCTAAGGATAGCAAGGCCACCTCCTCCACCCACCATGGCTCTAGGCTGAGAACACCTTCCCAGCCTCTTGCATGCTTGGAAGGTACCCCTTGGGTCCAGTCAGAGGAGTCCAATCCTCCTTCCCAGGTAAAAATGAGTTTTATGATTCTGCTCCCACAGCAGCCTTGGTGGATCCCTGAGCCCCAGTGAGCTTACTCATGGAAGACCCTCAGACTCTTCTTAATTACCCCACAGCCTCCTCAGCCTCCTCCCACACCACCCTCCAGCCAGCAGACTATCTTCCACAAACCCCAGAGGAAGCTCTCTGAAGAAAGCTGGAAACCAGGCTAATTAACACTTCAAGCTTTACATAAGCAAATGAGAATCTGCTTCACCCCCACCCGTTTTGTTCCAAAAGGCAGGGCTTATCCCACCTACACCTGACAGTGTTCACAAAGGGCTGCTGGGGAGTCATAGCCTCTTCTTTTAGCCCTGACCCACCAGGCCCAACTGGGCCAAACTGCATGAGGAGCCTTCCATGGGCCTGGACTCTGATTAGCCACCCTTGTTTATTCTCTTAGCTGACTTATTTCTGCTCTGTCTAGAGTAATCAACTGCAGGCAGCATGGATGGACAGAAAGGCAAGACAGGCCCAGCTTCAACGCTGGCTTGGACATTGGGTAGCTGCGCCATCGGATTGAATCATTTCTTTGAGCCACAGTTCCCCTAGGATTGATGGGGGTTTATACCAGTCTCCCCCCTTTCTCTCTGTGTCTGTTTCTGTCTCTGTCTCTCTCCTCTCTCTGTGCGTGTGTGTGTGTGTGTGTGTGTGTGTGTGTGTGTGTGTGTGTGTGTGTGTGTGTGTGTGTGTGTATGCCAAGGCAAGCGTGTACAGTCAGGGGGACAATTATATGGAGTTGTCTCTCTCCTTTATGTGGGTTCTAAGAGTCGAACTTAGGTCTCCATGCTTGTCACCTGCTGAGTGAGCAATCTTGCCAACCTGAAAAAGTAAACCTTGAGAATTTTTAAAATAGTCTACTATAGAGATATGGTTTTATTTATGGAATCAAGGGGAAGGTAGAAGGTCTAACCTTGTCATTCATAAATATATATATCATTCTTATGTGACTCTGGGCATTTTTTGTGAACTCTGTTGCTAGGACAAGTCAATTCTGCTCCAGGGCCAGATATATCCATATTGTCATCATGATCCTCGCTTTCCCCTCAGACCTCCGTGCCCATTCCTGCAGGTAGCTGCACACAGCAGGAGCCAATCCTATGTTCTCTCGGTCCACACTGTACAGCAAAGTTAACGTGACAGTAAACGAACAGTCCCACCTTCGTGAGGGAGCTAGCACCCAGGCTCTCACACAGCCACTCAGATAGAGATTTAGTGTGAAGTGAGATTATCGAGGGCAGAAAGAAACCCACCCCAGTCCCCAGATGACCAAAGGCAGGGTTCACTTTTAGTCTTTGGGTCTGTTTTCTTCACCAACCATTCACTAGTCTTGTCTGGACCACTGTAGATTTTTACTTGGACAATTATAGTAGCCTAAAATCTCCCATTTAACTTCTTGCCCACCACATGTCATTATGTGAAAGATGATACATTTTTTCTAAGACCCAAATTAGTCACATCTCTCGTCTCCTTACAGTCCTTCAGAGGCTTCCTATAGCTGTCCACAAACAGCCTAAGGTTCATCCACATGGCCCTCGAGACTTAAGACTCTGCATCCTACCCATGTCTGACTTAACTGTTTTTTCCCTACCCCTTTCCTAGAACACAGACAGCCTTATCCTCCTTGTTCCTATTGATAATATTCCTGCAGCCTCAGGGCCTTCCCACAAGCTATGCTCTCTTAGTCCCCAGCAACCTTGTTCCTGCTGAATGCTGGCCTCCCCTTCCTGTCAGTTCCCAGGCACTAACCTCAGCTTTTCCTTACATCTGCTCCCAGCATGTTTTACTGCTCTGTCCACTCCTAGTGACCTCACCTCCCCCAACCCAAAGAAACCCACTGGTTTGTATCTGTCAGCTTGCTTTTCCCTCTGCTTCCTATGTGTTGTGGCCAAAGCCTCTGTCTAGAATTTGCCTTTCTTCACAAGTTCCTGTAATATCTCCTGAAGATTGTAATGAAAATGCAAGAAGAAGGGGGCAAGAAAAAAAAATGAGAGGCTGTTAGACAGCCTTCATCAGCCATCCAATTTGTCAGAACTGAAGAGCCGGGGATGAACTCTTGTCCTGGGGATGAACCTCAGTGATGAAGTCCATGTGACTTCTAGAATCCCTCCTGAAATAGCCTGTACCACTTTCCTCCTCCACAATGTCCCTGTGCCACCATCAAGTGCCACCTTTCCCCATTTCTTGTCACCCTGCCAAGGAACTGACCGTAAATTCAGCAATCTTCGGCACTCGGAACTTCCCTTTGCTCCTCTGTTCCGGCTGGTACTCTGTTCTTGTCTTCACGATCACCTGCAAAGTTAGACCAATGTTAGCACAGAGACAAGTGCTTCTCCCTCCCTTCCCTCTGACCACCAGAACTTGCTCTCCATCTCACAGACACCCGGGATGATGAGCCTCCTTCCAAACAACAAGAAAACCTTCAAATGACACCCATGACCCTCATCCCAGCAAGCATGGTGATGGTGTTCACTACACCTCTCCCAGCAAGCATGGTGATGGTATTCACTGCACCTTTCCAGATGTTTGTGTGCGTCATGGGTGCTGCTGTCCGTAGAAATGCATACCTTGCTTTGACAAAGGGGAGTCGGATATCATGGGGTTAATAGGCCACCATCACCAGGTGATTCAATGTTCTTTTCTGGTTTTCCACTTTCCAATGTAAACAAACGTCTCTCTCTCTCTCTCTCTCTCTCTCTCTCTCTCTCTCTCTCTGTGTGTGTGTGTGTGTGTGTGTTAGGGATATAACTCGGAGTCAAACATCTGCTCAGCAAGTGCTCTACCACTGAATAACGCTCTCAACCTTTCATTTTGCCTTCTTTTCCGTCTTGACTAAATGTGTTCTTTGACAATTTCTGTAAATGAATGTAGCACATTCTGCCTAGTCCTTCTCCCTCCCTTTTGCATCTTCTTCCCACCCCTGTCATGCTGCACTCTTCCCTGCAGCTCTCTTCCTCATTCATGTCTTTTTGTTTTGTTACCCACTTATTTTAAGCAGGACCATTTTTTTGTTTTGTTTTGTTTTTTTCGAGACAGGGTTTCTCTGTGGCTTTGGAGGCTGTCCTGGAACTAGCTCTTGTAGACCAGGCTGGTCTCAAACTCACAGAGATCTGCCTGCCTCTGCCTCCCGAGTGTTGGGATTGAAGGTATGTGCACCAACACCCGGCTTTTTTAGCAGGACCATTTGAGTGGCTATGGACTTGAAACTGCCGTTGGATTCTGGAGGGTTGACCAACAACTGACAGTGATGATGTCTTATTCCCAGAATCCACCAGTGACCAATAGCTCAACTGGGAGGAGTAAACCTCTGGTGACATCCTCCTTGATCCATGATTGGCTGTTGACAGGCCCAGTGCAGGTGACCACAGGTGCTGTGGAATCACGTCTGGAATGGCTTTGCCATGCCCTGAATATGCCATCTTCTTCTTTTTTTTTGTTTTTTTTTTTTTGAGATTTTGCCGTCTTCTTTTGATGTTGTGTGCTTCACTCTATAGGTACACTGCAACTGATACTTGAAGTTTTTAAATTATGTTTATTTGTAGAGGGCATGGCATGCAGTAATATTTGTGTGGAGGCCAGAGGACAATCAGCGGGAGTCACGCTCTCCTCCACCATGGAAGTTCTGGGGACTGAACTTTGGTTTTGGTGGCAAGTGTCTGTACCTGCTGAGCCGTCTCACTGGCTCTACAGCTGATTTTTTTTTTTAATTAAAGGTTTTTTTTTCAATTTTACACAGAGACACTACAGTTCACTATACCTTATCCTTCTAATAATGATACAAGATAAGAATTGCTTTGTTTTATACATGTTTTATAACTGTAGCTAGAAGGTTATTAACTTGTGTCAGGTCACAAAGACACTGCCCACCAAGGTTCAGTTAACTCTAAAGTTTATCTGCAGCTGACCTTCAGTTGGTAAATGTTTAGTCCATTCCCATAGTCTGGGTTATAAAAACAAGTTTTGGTTAATAACCTATTGGTTAATCCTTTGAACATATTCTTAACTGTAATATGATTTGGGGATCTGCACAAGGAAAAATAAAGGCATTTGTTCAGCCCATCACATCTCCTTTCACTGAAGTCTGTTTTGGCAGCGTATTTTACCACGATGTGCTGCCCACCTTACAAGGCATTTATGGACCTCCACCCCACTTCCTGGACTGAGTAGGAGAAAAAGAAACCTGATGAGTAACCTGTAATT